GGGGGGTCGTCAGGAGGGAGAGAGGTGGTGGGATACAGGAAGTGACCTTGTGACCCTGCCTGCTGCTCCTGGTGTCAGGTTACGGAGTAGGGGGAGGGGGACCTTCATGCTGACTTAAGGTAGAGAGGCCCTGACACACAAACAACAGACACACAAACCCGCAACACACACACATTTCTTGTGCTGCAGCAGGTATACGTGACACAGGGAGGGGACCCAGAGTGAAGTTAAACACTTTCTGCTTCATGGACAAGAACCAGGAAAGGAGAAATGTTTAGGCACCTCTTGGTTATTATTGAATAAATGATCATGGGCATTTTCTTTAGCCTTGAAACATACTAGTGATTGTACCATGACACCTTACTTGGTAACATGATAGCACTTAATCTCTCCTCAGCCCATATTAAGTACTTGCATAGTATAGTAATGTACTTACAGTGAAGACGTCGTCGTCACCCAGCTCGCCCTCATTCTGGAGTGCTGTAGATGAGGTTGTAGAGCCTACGGGGAAGAAAACATCCTTTAATTCAACTATCAAAAACTCAAGGTTAACATTTTTACATGGTTAACTCTGCAGCTCATCGTCTGACAGCAGATAGACTTTGTGGGAAAAAAGTTGTGTGCGTCTATTCGTTGTTCCCCGTACCTTCAGCCAGGTCCTCGATAGCTTTCCGTACGCCTCTGTCGAACGCTCTGGCCTCAGCTGGACTCTGAAAGGAGAGCCCACACTTCATGTTCTCCACTTTCCAATGGTGAAACGTGGGCGTAGCTATGGTGTAAACAAGGTCCTTCCTCAGAGGACAGTCTAGGATCACCTGTTGGAAGAAAATACCCATATTAATTACATCTAACCAGATGTTTTATAACGATTTAATTTGGTGTACGGAAGGTCCATTATGTAAATGTGCCTGATGTAGCGATAGAGGCTAATTATCGTCTGCAGTTGTTTGCAGGTTGATGTTATTAAAAGAAGACATACTATGTAATCATATAAATAACACACTAGCTTAAGCAATTACGGCACATATTAAAAACACATATTGAAGAACATTTTTTTTTGTATTTAACCTTTATTTAGCCAGATAAAAGCATTGAGATAGAATCTCATTTGCAATGCTGACCTGGCCAAGAAGGCAGTAACGTTACACATAACACAAACATATAAGAAAACAAAAGACGAAAAAGCAGTCACTACATTGTGCACATTAGGACAGTAAGAAAGGTGCACTACTTATTACTGCAAGAGCAGCTGGTGGTAAGGACCTCAGACAACTTCAATTTAAAACAGGCTATAGGGACAAGTGCCGTCAGTTTAAGGCGTGATTGAAGGTCATTCCAAGACCAAGGACCATAATGAAAAAGACTCCTTTTTCCAGCCTCAGTCCGCACAGCAGGTACCTGGACCCGTATCCAGGCACTGGGTCTGAGGTTGTAAGAGTCACAAACTGGAGCAAGTCTGGCACATATATACAGTGGAAGCTTACCTAAAATGGCTTTATACATTAATAAAATGAATACAAACCCATAAACGCACAACAGACTATAAGTACAGATACAAGCTAATACGTGTGTGTGTGTGTGTGTGTGTGTGTGTGTGTGTGTGTGTGTGTGTGTGTGTGTGTGTGTGTGTGTGTGTGTGTGTGTGTGTGTGTGTGTGTGTGTGTGTGTGTGTGTGTGTGTGTGTGTGTGTGTGTGTGTGTGTGTGTGTGTGTGTGTGTGTGTGTACCTGTTTGTCCCGCAGCCGTTCCCCCCGAATGATGAACTGAGAGCCGCTGGAGGTCGGCAGCAGCCCCATCTCGGGCGGCAGCAGGCGGCAGACCCCCACCCGGCTCAGAGCGCTGGGACCCTCGGCCAGCCAGCCTCCGCTCGAGTCGTCCCGCGTCATCACCACCGCTTTCACACGCACGATGTAGCTGTCACTGCACAGAGAAAAAGGGAGAACTATTAGCATGATATCGGAATAGTCTATATAAAAGTAGGGTGGGGTTATAATCTAAAGAGTCAATAGGTCTGAAAACGCTTTTATTTACACATGCGTATGCTCATATAGAATTTCTCATGTTCCTATTTGTTGATGATGTTAGTTAATATGTAGAAGGATAGAGGGTGTCGTTTTTCTCACACTGGTATTCTGAACAAACTGTGCTATTGTATTAGCTGTAAAGTGTCTCTACTGTAGGCTATTTTTATTATATGTACAGCACTTTGGCTCGACTGTCAAAAATCGTTTATAAATGTGCTATATAAATAAAACTTGATTTGATTTGCAGCAGCTATGAATGAAAGCAAAACAATCTCAAAATCGCCACCACCCACCACATGATTGCATGTTATTGTGTAATAAGAACAACACCTTTACACCTAGTTAAACACACAGATAAACTGATATTAAAACTAATCCAAAATTAATATCAGATTCTTGTATTATTATGTTCCAGATTGATTAGAATAAGGTGAGTTGTCAAATACACACAGCTATTTTTGTTACTAATACAAAGACAATGCAACTACACCTATTAGCTGTAAGATTTATGACATAAAGAATAATTTTGACTTTAAAAACATCACTGTGAGAAGATACCAGGTGAGCATTAATGAACCAAATCCTTTCCACGCAACACAAAAACTCTTCAGCAAACAAAAATGATTCCTCAGGAAACAACAATCATTTCATCCTGGCCCCAACCTGTGAGAAGTATCTGTTCTGTTAACTCAAACTCAAGTTTTAATTCTTAAGAGTGTGTTAATGCCACAGCCGGCAATTATAGATCTGGCTTCACACAAAGCAGAATGTTTGAGGGCGTCTCAAGTCACGACTTCGCCTCGTCCTCGCTGTGTGAGGTGAGGTGGGAGGTGTCGCACCGGGAGAAGTCTGCACAAACACACACTCACACACACTTTAATGTATATGCAGCCCGGTGTTGCATTTACTGTGGAGGTAGTTCAGCGAGAAGTTCATTTCAAAATGGGATGATCATTCAATCATATACTTAGCCACCAAAATAATCAAACGACATTACAGCAGAGATAGGCAACCTCGCTTAAATAAATGCAATATAGAATAAATATGGCTGTTGTATTAGGATGTCATCTACTAACTTCATTGAAACAAAGAGTCTGCATATCTTAACACCTCGATTAAACCTTTTCCTGAGGTAATAATTCACCCTCTAAATTATTTACTGCCTGTATTTCAACTGTCACTATTAAAGTATAACAAAAAGTGCTGTTAATAATACCTTTAAACTATGAGGAAAAAACACAAGATTTTGACCTTTTAATAACTTCAATATCCTCAAATCAATGCTTTATAAATAGCAGAAAGAAGCTAATTAAGTCACAACGTGTCATCGATTAAAAAAGACCTACATTATGTTATTATGTTAAAATTGCGTCATTGGCTTGATCCTATCACTGTTCATGTGAACACACATTACAATAGGCTTAAACTCTTTGCAGCTATTTAATAACTGGTGTATAAAGTGATAATATGTTAAAATGTAAATTACTGTGATATCCTCTGCAGAAATACGGTCCTATTGCTGGAAAGCTTTTTGTATGTATGTACCAATTTAATTTAGTGTTGTTATTTTTTTTTAATGTAAAGTAATGTAGTTGTCCTGTGTATACATGTATTGCTTTTGGCTCTGTGTCTTCGTCCTATGTATGTGATTTTTTGTATGCTGAAAATCAATAAACATATTGATAAAAAAATAAAAAAGATCTACATAAACACATAGGCTTTTCAAAGACATGGTAAGTGTGAGGAGTATTTCCAATAATGGCTCTTTTAATATTGTTGTCAATAACAAAACAACACAACTTGAAGTCATCACCCTTTGACTCAGGTTGGCTATTATCTGACATTTCATACACTCGTAATGTATTTAAAAAATAATAATTCTCATCACCAGATGCAGTAATTATGAGACGTATCGTTCACAGATTCAACCAGAGTAATTGTCTCGCAGCTTCGGTTAGTTTGTGAAGCCTCCATACAACAACAGCTACAGTTTAGTCTAAACAGCACTGCAAAACAATTCATGACAAAAACTCCCTCTGCACTGCAGTCGATGGAGTCTTCAGTGAGTTTAACATGAGACGATACAATGGAGAGTGAATTTTAAAATACAAAAAACATTGTCAAGCGTGAGCATGACAGCCGCCACCCTCACAGGGACACACTGAACACATGAATGATTCGACAATAACAGGATGTACCTCTGTGTATATTCCATCCACGCTGCACTGTGTGTGTGTGTGTATGTGTGTGTGTATGTGTGTGTGTGTGTGTCTGGGCGGCAGAGGGATAGAGAGAGAAAGAGAGGACAAGTAGGAGTGAATGAGAGAGGTGTTGTTATATAATTAGCTTACAGACAGTCCCAGGGATTTCACACACACACACACACTCACACACACACACACACACACACACACACACACACACACACACACACACACACACACACACACACACACACACACACACACACACACACACACACACACACACACAGGTGGCAAAACTGGTTCACCGAGTCCCGCCCACACACATTCATAAAACTGACTGAATGACAGACAAACTGACTGGGTGACAGAGCACAAACAACCCGTACAGAAAAGCAACCACAGATTATCCTACAAGGTTTACACTTTCATGTAAACAAACACAAAATACTTCCTCTGAATCCCCGTCTTGAAATTAGACTTTTCCTTTCAGATATTTAAAGTTTATTGTGTAAGGGGAAAGGAAGTTAATACTAGCAAAAGTATTTCTTAAACAAATGGCAGTAAATTAAGACTGTGGAGACGGTGGAGATTCAAAATAAAAACACTGGAAAAGTATAGTTGTTATTGGCAGGCTGCAACTGTTCGTGGTACAGTTTGTAGGAAGGCGTCGTTTCATTCATCAAACCACAATGGGCGGAGGAAAATATTCAGCCACGTGGGAAACTTGAATGGCAACAATAATAATAATGGAAATCGAAAACAGAAACGTCAATGATCTATTTATAATCCCATTATTTCCTGATTTGAGAGGAAGGAATGTCGTGTACCAGCAGCTTCATTGAATAAGACCTGTCAGCTAGGCCTTTAACAACTGGATTTTTAATCAACGTTATGTTATGTCTTCATGGTTGACTTGTGCTTTTCTATATGCAAGATCTTTCTTAGAGCACTAACTTTCTTGCAGTGGTGAAAGAAGTACTCAGATATTCTACTAAAGTAAAGTAATTATACTCTTGTGTACAAGTACGCTGATACAAGTAAATGTCTGCTATTCAAAATGCTACTTAAAGGGGCGCGCTTACACTAGTTTTTCAGGTTTCATAATTGTACTTGTTGACTCTAATATGGCATGTTTACATGTTTGAATGTACTGCAACACACCACAAGTAGTAGTATAAGCATCAAACTTGACATAAAGTAACACAACTAAAAGTAGTCATTATGCAGAATGACCATTTATTGGATTGCTGGATTATAAGGGTTCCATGGATGTGAACACAATTTGAATCGGAATAAGAAATACTTTTTTGTAATGCCAATCATCTTAATCCATATAATTGGATCAGAAATATGAAGTAGCATAACATGAACATACTAAAGAAAGTACAAGTACCTTAAAAATGTACTTAAACAACAGAACTTGAGTACCGTAATTTTCGGACTATAAACCGCACCTGAATATAAGCCGCAGCAGCGGCATACCACTCTCGGTTCCACTTTTACTTTTGCGCGCTACCTGTCTCACTCTTTTCCGGCCTCCAGCTTTTCCTGCTGGAACCCGCCGCTTAAAGGTGGGGGTCCGCGGACCGGCCATAGAGCCCATATTGTTAAAGGTGTTGGCCGTTAGCTGTAAAAATCCATAGATTAGCCGCACCGTTATATAAACCGCAGCGTCGAAAAATAGGGAAAAAGGCGCGGCTTATAGTCCGAAAATTACGGTAAATGTACTTTTTACACCACTCCTTTCTTGACAATAGCTGCGCCTTTTTACATATGCTGGAAAAGTCTTTGCATGGCAGAAACGACTACAGAAATAAAAAAAGATTTAAAGAGTAGGTTTTAAAAAAACTGACTGATGATAGAAATCTGTGGTGAGTTATTCAGATAAACTACCCTGGTTTTAAAATAAACACGCATGTCTGAATAATGTTGGGTTTTATCCTTATCTGACAGCAAAAACTTTCTCGAGAAACCACAACACACACACTTTGATTCCAGTAGGATGTCTTTTCTGCCTCTGCCTCTGAACATGTTTACAGTGAAAATCCACACTGCTGCTTTTTTATACCGAAACACCACCACGGTTTAGCATGACTCAAACACATGTCCGACACCAGGCGCATACAGAACCACACATCCAGTGCACCCGCATACAGAAATAACACACAATTCTGCGCTATATAAGCACATGTGCGTTAAGATACATGACACCGGCTCTCTGAGATGAACTTGTCACATTTTGGTTTCGTCTTGTGACCCATGTTTAGAGCCCTGTCTGCAGACATACCCTGTAATCTGTGGTTGGAACACACAGACAGCCACAACCAGCAGCAACGCGCTACTTTAATACACTTGGGAGTGACCACACATTCATGCACAAATACACACTCGTACATTTGGGAACTGTGAATCTAATTCCGTCCGCACGAATGTGGCACGAGGTACAGATGATGGAAAAAGGATGGTGACGTCCACCTTAAGAAAAGACGGTTGTATTTATAATCCCGTGTTGGTGCAGCACACACACAACTTTATTTCCAACCAAATGTTTGAAACAAAAAAGGTAGCTTGAGGTGATTTTCAATTATCACATGCTCAGACTCAAGCTGCTATTTTCAAAGTCTCTTTAAGGTGAACCGTTGCATCAAGAGTGTGGTGATGACTCAGTTTCAAAGGAAGAAAGAGGGGGAACTCAACACCTCACAGATAAGGAAAGAAATTCATGCATCACATCCT